AAAGTGGATTGGATTGGATTGGAGAACCAAGTGGCTGCAGATTTTTCCATTGCAAACATTGAGGACAGAATAGCAGCTAATTTCTCTCGTCTGCACAATTTTGATCAGTCAGGAGTGTGAAACCACGCCTGGTGGAGCTGGCACCCCATGTGCCCGGGCTGGGTCCTTGGGTTTGAGTCTGATCTGTGGCCCTTTGCTGCGTGTCATCCCTGCTCTCTCCAGCTTTCCTGTCTATCTTGAGCTGTACTACCAGTGAAGGCAAAACAACCTAAAAAAAACTGTAAAAAGGAAACCAGCTACTGTATTGACTAAAATCCTGGTGGTTCCATGGTTCACTTGTTTCTGTGTGTAGATAAATTCCAGTGCACACATTTGCTGGTTTGTTCCCTAAAGTGTTGTCTCAGTACTGTATTTTCTCTCTCTCATGTTCAGCCTAAACCCAGATCCCACGGAGAGACACACCTTCTGGACTCTGGGGGTCGGCGGGGTCTTCCTCATGCTGTCCCTGTACGGAGTGAACCAGGCTCAGGTCCAAAGATATCTCAGCTCACGCACAGAGAAAGATGCTGTCAGGTACTGTAGATTTTCACATTGAATCCCTCTCTTCACACTTCTGTTAGCTTTCAGAATAGAATAGAAAAGTAGATTTAAAGTTGGCCGGTATTTTATAGACTTTTTATTGACCACGCTGTGTGGACCATAAACAGATACTGTTTGTAAGCTCCACAGTCATTAACATGACTTGTACTGAGCCTTTTTCATGTTAGTGACACTCTGCATTTGTTTTTTTGAGGTCATTTAGAAACATGTGGTTGGTCAGCCCACCACTTTCATCCAGATGGAAATATCTGAACGACTGGATGGACTGGCATGAAACTTTGTACAGATCATAATCTCCAGAAGATGAATCCTAATGACTTTGGTCATCCCTTGAGTTTTGATATGGTCAAGACGTTGGTTTATGATTAAATACTTGTAAGACAGACCAAGAAAATCTCAGAACTGACCAGTTTTACTACGTTCCTATCCGCCGGCAGGTCTTGCTACATGGTGTTTCCCTCCCTGCAGTTGGCCCTGGCTCTGAGCTGTGTGATGGGACTGGTCATGTTTGCACGATACTGTGGAGAGGATCACTCTGACAAACTGGGCACCTCTTCAAGGGATGCAGTGAGTTTCTGTGTTTTTTTTCCCTGTTTAGAGTGAATATGATTTTACCTTTCCTGCCCTTTTTGTTTCCTTGATTTTAAGAGAGGTACAGCATGAATATTTGCATACTTTCTTCCCGTTAGGCTCATTATGTAAATTTGTTCTCATAGATGTCAGATATATATGTCGTTTAACGTGACTAACAAATATATGCAAAACATACTGAAGGTTTCAGGAAATTCATAAAACATAATATGTTTTTTTTCCAGATGGTGATATACTTTGTGATGGATATGCTGCAAGGCCTCCCTGGACTGCCTGGACTGTTTGTTGCGTGTTTATTCAGTGCAGCTCTCAGGTACGCATCAGTCTAAATTTTCCTTTTTTAGTTAAACAGGTTGTCAGTCTAAGCAGAACACCAGCACGAGGGAGGCTTGTACATGAACTGATTGATGTATCTCGACATCAGTCAAGATGTGTGGATGTCTCTAGACTTGGGACGATAGGAAAATTTCCTGTCACGATTATATCTTGGCCAAAATAATTGTGATTATTATCACAAAAATCATGAAAATATACTCAAAATGTCACTAAACATACTAGAATCACTTTACTTTATATAACACATATTTATTGCATCACACATAGGCACCTAATCTCCCTGCTCTGTATGTTTGAATCTATGTTATTTCCTCACATCTCGGGGGATACAACAGGCAAGCCGAGCCGTCAGCCATGGTGACAGCTTTAGGATTCTGGAAAGATTTTTGTACACTGATGCGCAATAATATTGTATATCATCTTATCCCTAAGTGTGTCCCTTTTACAATAACCAGGGAAGAGGCTGTAAAGAGTTCAGTAACACAGGCAACTATTTAGTAGTTACAACGTCTTAGTGAACTTTTCACATTTCTGGTGTTGACTTTTGACCCTAATGAAGTCATAAAGGTCTTTATCAATTTATGCTTATGTCATTTTATTGGTTCTGAGCCAGTAGTTTCTGTCATTTTCACCAAAATCTCACAGATTTTCTCCTTCAGACTTTTAATTAATGCATTTTATCATCTATTTTTTTAGTCTTATACAACAGAACCACCGGCTGCAGAATGAACGCCTCTCTAAAACAGCATCAACAATAACTGAACATTATAACATTCATAAAGAGAGGATTTATTGCAGAACTGACTTTATTAGTTTCAGCTATGTGTACCTAATCAACAGCAACAGAGTGTATAATCAGTTATAAATCTTGAATTTTTTCACCTCAAAGGTTTCTTCATTTCTCCTGGTTATCTTTAAAAAGAAAATGTGCAATGCATTTGTATTTGAATCTTGTAAGAAAGCTTTGATACAAATCTGCCTGTTCCCTTCCTGCACACCTGTCACCGTGGGAGTGCAGTTAAAATAAAATGTATACTATTTTTCATACTTTTTACATTAATGTTTGTATTTATTCATTGTTTTTGCTTTTCCTGTGCAGCACCATCTCTTCTGCTTTTAACTCTTTGGCCACTGTGACAATGGAAGACCTCATCAAACCACATTTCCCCGCCATGACAGAGGAGAGAGCAACCCTGCTGTCCAAAGCCTTAGGTTAGCTCTCTCAAGCTTAACATTCATCAATCAGTCCCTCCAGGATTTCACAGGCTTTCTTTGGGGATTGTTGCGGCCTAAAATACCTGGTTTAACGGCATCTTTTCTAAAAAAAAATTGCAATACAAGTTGCGTTTTCTGTTTTTTGTATAATTAAAACTGAAGGCAACTTGTTCCAGTGAGAATAAAATTGCACTGTTTGAAGTAAAATGATCTGCATCTTCACAAGTAGAAACAAGCAAGTGAGTTTGGTGACGTTTTGCACAGGAAAAGAAGCAGTTATTGGACAAAATTGCTGGTTTACTTGGTTGAATTTGTGTAATTGTTGCGATCGCAGCTTCCTGGAGGGACTGATCAATGCACGTTACAGAGCTGTATAATAATGATGCGTTTGTTTCAACTTGTGCCTCCCCAATAAGCTATGTCCTACGGGCTACTGTGTCTGGCCATGGCCTATCTCACTCACTTAATGGGCGATTCCGTTCTACTGGTAAGTTCACAGCCTGTGTGATTAAATAAGAACCAACATTTGTCACTAAATCGCACTGACTGTTATTGTGTTTGAACTCCCAGGTGGCTTTGAAAATCTTTGGGATGGTTGGAGGTCCGATTCTTGGTCTGTTTTGTCTCGGGCTGTTCTTCCCGTGGGCTAACTCCACTGTAAGTTGAACCTCATTAATTAGACAATATCATGAGACAATGTGCAGTAAAAACATCTTGTTATATCGCTGCTTTGGCTTAAAGTAATAAATTATCTTCCAAATATTTTAATCATAAAAATATGTTTTGCAATGTGGTTTCCAACATTTGGACATGTGAAAGCTAAAAATGAAGTCATGTGTACATTACAGTTTATGGGCTTATTATGGATATGAGCTTCAACTAATATGTGACTTACTTAAAGTTGAAAATACCCTGTGTACAGCAGTGCTTTTCTTCCAGGTGCCAGCTGGTGCAGAGCAAACCAAAGTAAACCAGACAACTAAAATATATTCCAGCACACACCAGGATACTAAGATTGACACGGTTTGGGGCGCCTGGTTAGCTCAGTCGGTAGAGCTGGCGACCCATATCCCAAGTTGCTGTAGCGGCCTGGGTTCGAATCCTACCTGCGGCTATTTGCTGCGTGTCATCCCCTCTCTCTCCTCTCTCTCTTCTCTCTCCTCTCTCTCTACAGCTGTCTATCTATAAAGCCAACAAAAGGCCAAAAAAATTACTTAAAAAAACAAAAAACAAAAATGAGTCTGGAAAAGGTACAAAAGTTCATCAAATTGATGGCTTTTAATGCTTAATAACTTTTGTAGTTTGATATGGCACGCAATACTATTGTACAATACTATTGTATTGACTGTTGGGACTTAAGCACAGAGCGACTTTGATGAAGCAACCTTAGCTCCTTTTTGTTTTGTTTTTAATGTAATAAAACAGTGTTGATTTTAGCATTGTGGTGTGCGCTGGAATATATGTTGGTTGTCTGGTTTAATGTGAGTTTTCCTTTTCAAGTTTTGTTCAGAGACGGACAAAGAGGACTTGAACGTGTTCAGTATTTCACGAAAAAAAGCCAGAATTAGAAGAAAATATGACAAAAAAATTAAATGCAATGCTACTAGTTCCTAAAAATAAATGTAAATCTACAAATAAGTAAATTGTGTTTTCCTGTCGTTCCCAGGGAGCACTGGCAGGTCTGGGGGCGGGTCTGGCGATGGCTTTCTGGGTCGGCATCGGGAGCATTGTCACTCGGAGCTCCGGCCCGAGACCACCACCGCCCGAATGCAGAGCCATCCTTCTATCGGATAACGCGACTACTGATATTCAGACCGTGCTCAGAAACGTCACTCTGAGGTATCAGGCACACCAACAGCACAGCATGATTTGTTTTTACTGCCATCATTTCACAAGTTAATCATCTGTCTTTGCTCCTCAGCCGACCGTCTGGGCTGAAAAGATTTTATTCATTGTCCTACATGTGGTACAGCGGGTTCAGCTGCTTCACAGTCATCCTAATAGGCCTGATCATCAGCTTTCTCACTGGTAGGCAACTTCTTACACATTCCCTCTGTAATACAGGGGTTTTCTTCTCTAACTTTAAATTGTTTTAATATATACATATATATTTATGTTTTAGGGCCTATGAAAGAAGAAGATGTGACCCCAGGCACAATCTATCCGTTGTTGGGGAAACTGCTTTGTTTTCTCCCTGAGCACATCAAAAAGAAACTCTGCTGTGTGACTCCTCTGGGAGAGATGGTAAGTAAAATGATGATGTTTGATAATCGGTATGAGCAACACATTTAAAAACCGCCTCAGATACAGTGATTCAGGCTCAGTGAGAATGTAAAGATATATCGAGATACAAACGTGAAGATTCGAATGAGTGAGAGGGCTTTGGGCAGACGTTTTGAGCCCTTTATCCACACTTTCTGTAAGTCCGCAATGCTGCAGACTTTGCCCGAGGGAATTACCCACAGTTCATAGCGTTGTGACATTAAATACAGGGGCTATCAGGAGAAGCCCTGAAGCGTTAACAAAACAAACGTGGGAGGAGTAACAAGAAACAATGTTTACAGGTACGTGTATGAAGCTGTTGTGACAAAAACAAGCAAATTGATCATTTGACAGTGAGCTCTCGTTCATTCAGACGTTCAAATCAGGCAGTCGGTCCCTGAAGAGCTATAACTAAGAAAGTGAAAAAAATAAAAAGTAATTGAAGGCTACTTAACGTGGGGTCATCAAGGTAACGTGATATAATAATATATTTCATAACGAAAACAATTTTATAAAGAGCTTTAAAAGAATTAAACCATTTCAGGACTGAGGCAAACAAATCAGGCAATTCAAATAATACAGAAAATAAGTAAAACTCCAAACAATAAAGATGAATATTAGAAATAAAACACATTGGCAACAAAAACAGTGGCTAGAATGAATGAAATGCTTTTTTGAGATACGTTTGGAGAAGTGAATATGTCGTGTTGTGTAGTGACCCGTTCCTGTTTATACCATTACAGCCTCTCACACACTAACACTAGATGACGTCTGTGAGGGTTCAGTGCTTAGGCTTTAGGGTGGGATATGATCTCAGTTACTTAATCTTTCTATCTTTATTTACCTTTTAATGATATTTCTATTAATCTTCTAGCTTTCAGCACAACAAAGGCTGCCTCCACAAGTCAAAGAAAGGAATGGATTGGCATTCCCAAAAGAGGACGGACCATCACCGGATGAGACAGAGAGTTTTCTTCCCGAGGCTCACACACCTTTTGTGGAGTGTGAAACAGCCGTGTAATATCACGGTTTCATGTCTGACTGGAAAACGGTTAAACTGTCTTTACACAAAGCACTTGGACTAAAAAGAAATATCTTTATTTCTCGTTTTGTTGCTGTAATTAACGTGATTCAGATTTGCACTGTCATGCTGCAGCAAGATCAAAGAGTGAAAACTACAGGGCTGTGTTTTTTATTTAATCTACTGACATCTTCACATCCTCAATAAAAGTGCAGCTGAGTCTGTTTATAGTTTTATATTTTGTCACAGGTTTGATTTGTCAGAGTATTTGTCAGCTTCACTGAATCACATTCAGTTGGTTCCTTGGTTTTTTGTACGTGTAAAAGCTGCACTACACTGTTTCATGAGAATTACTGGATATTCTGTGAACTTTAGATCAAATAAAATGTATATGCATATATATATGTAAATGTATATAAAACATATACTTGACTATTGTTTAGCACTACTGCAGCTGAATGGTCCCGTGTCATACTATGGGGAGATGATAGTGCCTCACTTTTTATGAATGTATGACAGAAAAAAACTTTTTTTTCTAAGAAGGATTAAAGATTTTGTAGATAAACTTTTGCATTGTTTTGTCCTCTTATTTGAATTGTGTGCAACTCGAATAACTTCAATCATGAAGTTCACAATAATCATAAAGTTTTGGTAAATGTCTGTCTTACAGGAGCACCCCAGGAAACAGGCACTCTAATGATTTTTACACATGAAGATTAGTATTATCATCGTTTTTAGTCTGAAAAATGTGTAATTTATAACAAAGCCTGCATTATAAACTTGAGAAGATGTTGGTATTTACCACACAAGGAGGTTGTAATGAAAGAAGCTATTGAAGTGAATGTTTTTTACTTTAATACTTTTCTTTTTTTTTGCTACTTTCCATTTCTGCTCTTTTGCATATTGTAGTTTTTATTCCATCACATTTATTTTGTATATATATTGTATATATATTTATTTTCATATAAAAATTTTAAAACAAGCATATACGTGAAAAAATACAGTTCATTGTTAACAATAAATTAAATCCCCAGTAAAATGGTTATACAATAAATAATAATGTTACACAAAAACAGTGTTTTATGACTCATTTGACCCGACCTGTTTTTTTTTTTTTTACCATTTTACTAAATGTAAATACTTAACTAAGACATGTTATATATATATATATATATATATATATTAAAACTGTTGTGAAATTCCCTAATTAAAATATTCAAATATGTTTGAATGTTTTCCATTGCAAAGGAGTCCTGCAGGGAATTCGTAGCAGTGATGAGGTCTGCAGGTGTTTGTCCTGGTGTTTGTCCTGTCTAACGTTTACAGCCGTGGTAGCAGCTTGGTGAGGCTCTATGTAGTTAAATGCTAAACATCACCATGCCAACATTCTTACAATGGCAATGCTAACATGCTGATGTTTAGCAGGTATAATCATGAAAATGGTCAGCTGAGCGTGCTAATATTGGCTTTTTAGAACTAAAGACAAAGTACAGTTGGTTGGATGTGGTAAAAATGTGCAAAACCAAAGATGTTAATTTCATAGTGACGCCAGAGATCAAGTCAGAAGATGCCTAAAAGTCAGACGGACCAACAGACAAACTATCAAAGATTGGCATCATTCCTCTCTTTTCTCCACCTTAGTCTGTCCCACCACACAGCTCATTCAGAACTGGCCCGAATGTTTAGTTTTTCCATGCTATCTAATGACATGGCACATGTCTTATTCTATTAGTTCTTCTAAATT